CCTCACCTCCTTTGCCCCCCGGGCCTGCAGCTGCCGGCGGGGCCCCCAGGAGGGAGTGAGGGGATGGAAAGCAGCCTCCCCTTGAGGAGATATGACTGCACACGGCCCTGCCTCCAGTCTAGCACTTCCGCTGCTGGTGGGGTGCTGGGGCCGGGGCTCTTTCATGTGGCTGCTTTGCGTGATTCAACCATCTCCCCTCCCTCCCTCCCTGCTTCCTCAACAGCTCGAGAACCAGGGCCGTGTCCCTGCAGATTTCACCGAAAGCTTCAGCCTTGCCGATAACCAGCCATGCACGGCCAGGCGCTCCGGCTCCTGTGCAGTTTGCTGATGCCCGTCACCTTCTTGTGCACAGATCTGCTTCCCAGAGTCACCTTCCCAAGAGGTGAGCCAACGGGTGGGACGGGGGAGGCGAAAGAATGAAGAGAGTAGGAGGGAGAGGAAGAAAGGAATGGGGAGAGCAAAGACGGACAGACCTGGCCAGACAGAAGGCAGAGAGAATAAAGGAAACAGAGCAAGCTCCGCGAGAGAGGCCGTTAAAAGGAGGATATGAAGGAAGGGGTGAAAGGAAGAGAAGGAGAGAGCTGTGCCCTCCTCGGCAGGCCTAGGGTGGAGGAAGAGAGAGAGGCTCTTTGCCTGTAGCCAGGACTGGGGGGGCATCTCCCATCTCCCTGTCCACGCGGCTTGTGTGAAGAGCAGGGCTCTGATCTCAAAAGCTGCCCTGGAGAGAAGGGGTTGGGGGCGGATGCTTTGGAGGGGGCTGGCAGAGAAGAGGTGAGTTCAGATCCTGAGCTCTCCTCCCATGCCCCGGCATGGGACCTCACATGGGCCTACGATGGGCACCACTCTCCGGCGGGGCTCACCCTGCGGCTTGATCTACGGCCTGATGGGTTCCGTGGCAAAGCTCCTGCTGGGCTTTGGAGCAGGCCTTGGAGGTGCTGTCCAAATTGGTCCCAACGGGGCCATGCCGAGCCAACCTTGGTCACATGACATGTTGCAGCATCGTAGTCTCCAAAGGGAAGATGAGGCAGGGGGATGGAGGGAATTTCCAGCGGAGTGCGGGGGCAGCGCGCCAGGAATACATGGTGTGAGCCAAGAGCATGGGGTATTTGGGGAGTAGAGCCAATGGGAGGTGGGGGGTATCTTGCTATGTCTCTGTTCTTGTGGCTCCTCCCTAGCTCATACAGAGAGCACCCGTGGTCTGTCAGCACTGGCAAGCCAGTCCCTATTCAAGGCCGAGGCTCTGCAGGATGCCTGGGTTCTGTTTGCAGAGCTGCTGCATAGGTGCTGTGCGCCTGGCTGGCTTTTGGTAGCTCAGGGATCCCATTAGAGACGACAGTGATGCTATTCACTGGAGGGGGAGCAGCAGAACATACAGCCTAAGGCACAGCCGTTAGCGCACTACGGAAGTGATCCAAAGCTGACCGGGGTCGCCAATGGCTTGAGGGGGCCTGAGTTCAAACCTCAGCTGGGCCCCGTTATGAGACAGGATAGGGATAGAGTTCAGAGTGATCTAGACAAATTGGGGGATTGGGCCAAAAGAAATCTGATGAGGTTCAACAAGGACGAGTGTAGAGTCCTGAACTTGGGACGGAAGAATCCCAAGCATTGCGACGGGCTGGGGACCGACTGGCTAAGCAGCAGTTTGGCAGAAAAGGAGCTGGGGATTACAATGGATGAGAAGCTGGATATGAATCAACAGGGTGCCCTTGTAGCCAAGAAGGCTGATGGCACATTGGGGTGCATTAGGAGGAGCATTGCCAGCAGATCTAGGGAAGTGATTATTCCCCTCTATTCAGCACAGGTGAGAACACATCTGGAGTATTGTGTCCAATTCTGGGGGCCCCGTTACAGAAATGATGTGGACGCATTGGAGAAAGTCCAACAGAAGGCAACAAAAATTATTAGGGGGCTGGAGCCCATGACTTCTGGGGAATTTGGGCTTATTTCGTCTGCAGCAGAGGAGTGTTAGGTGGGATTTGACAGCAGCCTTCAACTTCCTGAAGGGGGGTTCCAAAGAGGATGGAGAGAGGCTGTTCTCAGTGGTGGCAGATGGCAGAACAAGGAGCAATGGTCTCAAGTTGCAGTGGGGGAGGTCTAGGTTGGATATTAGGAAAAGCAATGTCCCTGGCATGGTAGGGAAGCTCTGGAATGGGTTCCCTAGGGAGGGGGTGGAATCTCCATCCCTAGAGGTTTTTAAGTCCTGGCTTGACGAAGCCCTGGCTGGGATGGTTTAGTTGGGATTGGTCCTGCTTTGGGCAGGGGGCTGGACTCGATGGCCTCCTGAGGTCTCTTCCAGTCCTAGGATTCTGTGATTCTGTTCTCCCCCAAGGAACCGGCCTGGGAGTCTCACGCTCTCTAGCGAGCCAGCCTTGTGCAAGAGGTCAAGCTAGCTGCTCACAATGGTCCCTTATGGCTGTGGACTCCGTGGTCACATGACTCTTTCCACTGACTTTGGATCGGGCCCTGATTGCACAAAGCGAAGGCATTTTTCATTTTCCAAACCCAGAGACAGTAAATGCCAGAGCTCCCGAGAATGTTCATAATGACCCTGGCATCTGCTGGCACCCCGTGAAAGCACATCCCAGCTGCAGCCTCTCTGGCGAGCAGCCGTCTATTAAACCCGATTGCCTTTCAGCTGCTTCTGAAAAGGAAAGAAATGTTGCAGGCATTTCCGCTGAGCTGGGAAGGGACTTGCTGGGTGCGGGAGATGGATCTGATTTAAGAGGGGAGATGAGAAGAGCTATATATGGCTGGGCTGGCTAGAGAGGAAAAGCATCTTAACAAGCACTTGAATTGCGAGGAAACAGGACGGTGCAAGAGGGTTGAGCAAAGTTTATTTCTTATTGGTAGCCCCTGGAGGATGCAATCTAGGTGGTGCATAAACACAGTGCGAGTCAGTCCCTGCTCCTGGATGTCTTATGCTGTAAATCAGCAAGACAGGTTATGGGGGGGACAAAGGAAGGGTTTTTCTCCAAGCTTTTCAGATGGGAGATTGAGGCACAGAGACTTTAAGGCTAGATACCTAAAGGTATTTAGGCACCTAACCTGTGGGAGTTAGGTGCCAAGATACCTTGGGGGATCTGCAGGGCTGTCCCTACTGGTGCAGGTGCCCTTCACCAGACCCCCACCTCCCAGGCTGAAGCTGTTGAGGGTGGGGAAAAGCGGTTGCCAACTCTCCTGAACTAGATGGACTGGACGCTATTTACTGCAGTGACATCTGGTCCAGGAGAGTTGGGAACCCGGAACAGAGCCGGGAGGGAGGCGCAGGCCAAAGGAGCAGCAAGCGGCCACGCAACCGGCCAGAGAGAAGCAGCTTTTAAAAGGAAAGCGCCGCTTCTTTTCAGCCATTTGCTGCATGGTGGCCCCCTGCTTAGTCCTCCATCCTGTAAGGGGTGTTCACCTCTGCCTGGTGAGCGGGGGTTGGGCACTGAGCCGGGGAGAGTGGCCGGCAGATAGGGCAGGAGACAGCCGGGCTGAGCGGTGGAGGAACAGCCAGGGGACGGGGCAAGGGGCCGTTGGACCGGCATTGAGTGGGGGTTGCTCAGAGCTGTCCTTACCACTCTAGGCAAAACACGCAGCCGCAGAGGGCACCGTGAAATTCAGGGCACCAGACTGAAATTTCATGGTGCCCTAAACAGCTATGTGTTGCCTATGGGCTCTAGCAGCCCCCAGCCCCATCCCCCAGATGGATCTGGACTGAAGCGAGTTGCTGAAAGCCAGGAATAGATCCCCGTGAGTCCACACCTACCTCCTGCACTATAGAAACCCTCCTCGCTCCACGCAGCAGAGCAAATGCAGCAACGGAGCATTCGGGCTGCATTTCAGGCGGTGCTTCCTAATAGCAGGAGGCAAGGCTGCTATTAAGAGGAGCTGGAATTTGTCCAGATTAAAATCATGAGCCTGAGCCTCACGCTGGCTCCCTTTACTTCATTCTAGCAGAGGAAAGGGAGCCACTAAGTGGTGGAGAAAAAAACACTGACTCTCACTTTATGGTACCAGATTAGTGAGAATCAGGCCTCTCCCCCCCACACACACATTTTAATAAATCAATTTTCCTTCCCTGTGACGGGTGATTAAATCAATAAGAGATTTGCAAGATCTAATTTTCTTATTTCATCCTTTGCTTTGTTTGGGTTTCTTTTTTTTTCCACCTCTGGAAATAGACTAGTCACGTTGGGCATTGGGATCTAGTCAATTTCTGTTCATGGGGGTTGAGGGCTTGTATTATTAGGTGATCTCACAAAATCCCTTCCAGCCACACAGCTCTGTGATTCTATGGCACTCACAAGCACAAATTCTAGGACGGGGTTGCAATTTGGGATGCAAATGCTGCTGGGGATTTTTTTTTTTTTTGGGTCTGTTTGCTTTTGCTGCCTATAAACAATTAAGGCCTGTGAAGCGTTTCCGGTGCTCTGAGGCCTTCTGGAAATGATCTCGGCTGAATCTGGCAAGGCAGCATTTTGCTCCTGCCAAAGCGCTGCAAGATCTTCAGTATCTGCAAATGATCCGGACCTCGTTATTTTTATATCAGTCAAACCAATCTGATAGCTTTCTTCAGTACGATAACAAGCCTTGTGGATAAAGGGGAAGCGGTAGTCGTGGTATAGCTTGACTTCAGTAAAGCATTTGATATGGTCTTGCATGACCTTCTTATCAATAAACTAGGGAAACACAACCTACGTAGGGTTGCTATAAGGTGCAGGCATAACTGGCCAGATAACTACTCTCTGAGAACAGCTATTAATGGTTCACAGTCATTCCGCAAGAACATAACAAGTGGGGCTCCACGGGGGTTGTGACGTAGTGGGGGGTAACTTGCTGGCTGTAGCATGGCCCAGCAGGGCAGGGGATGAGTCATTATGCAAAAGGGGTCTCTCAACCTGTCTGACCAGCTACCCCCCAGGGAGAGAAACAAAGGAAGGTGGAATGCTGCCCCTGGCTGGGGGGCAGGGCTGGAAGTGAGGGTATGTCTACACTACCCCGCTAGTTCGAACTAGTGGGGTAATGTATGCATACCGCACTTGCTAATGAAGCCCGGGATTTGAATTTCCT